GGATTTAAAGACATTTCAATTAGAGGAAAAATTGCAGGGGGGAATAAAAAAAAAAAAGGGTGTTATCAACCAAAACTTTCGCGACCCCCATGAAGTACCTCTGTGGATCCCCTAGGGGTCACGGACCCCCTGTTGATGACCTACGGTCTAGATGTTTGTTAATTTGCATGGTTGCTCTTAAATAAATACATTTCTATAAAAAAAAAAATCATTTTTATATATTAAAAAAATATAAAGCTGACTAATAGCTTCTCCATTATTAAACTGGTTTATTATTTTTTTTAGGTTTGTGACTCAATATTAGACAAAACACAGATTTATCTTCACAGCCTCAGAAGGACAAGATTTATGGACAGAAAGTAAACCTGGACATGAAATTATCTTTATTTAAGTGTCTTTATAATGTTTTTTTTTGTTGGTATTCATATAAATATACTGGTGTGATAAATTAGTATACATTTGATTGGTCTTTGATTTACGTCTATTTTAAATTTATAGCAACTTTATAGAACTCCATCAGCCTCCACTGATGAACATTCTTCCTAAATGTGGCTCTGTATCGTCAGGGTATTAAGATATCTTTGTTTCTAGAGTTTTAATAAATATAAAACTAGAGCAGGTAAAAGAACAATAGTAAACTTTGTGTAATGGCTTCTTTTGAACCCGTCTCCTAGGAAACTAAAGCAGTGGTTTGGGTTTAAAAAGCATCGTCTCACCTGTTCTTCTTTGGTATAAAGCTGGAAGCACTCGTCCAACGTGCAGCTATGCTGCTGCAGGTGCTGCTGCTGCTGAAGCTTCACACTCTCTGCATCTTTCACCACCTCCTCATGGATGCTGCCAAACAGACTAAAGCAAACACACTTCCTGTTGTTCGCATTCAGAAGCTAAATGCAACTCTCACCGCTTCAATCAGTGGGAGTGTTTCTGTAAAAGTGATCTGTGAGCGTTTTAGCAAACAGGCCTCAGAAACATCTCATTCAGGTTAGGACTATATGTGGCCTGAAGAAAAAGATTCTGCTTACTGTTCTTTAGAGCTGGGGTCCCACTCAATAACAAGCTTCACGTGGGGAGGTCCTCCTGGCCCACAGAACTTCAAAGCTCTACAATGTAGAAAAGTTTTCATAAACTTAGTTGACACATTTGTAATATCACACTGAAAAAAAAATACATCTAAATAAGTCAGTTTTTTATTAAATAAGTGCAGTTTGTGTTAAATTGAGGAGGTGAGACACTTTACATTTAAAGTAAGAAAAAAAACTTACATTTTCTTATTTCAAGTGCTCACTAATTATCTTATTTTGAGAGTAAAATATGAATCCATTGGCGAATCATCTTATTCATTTACCTACTCAAATTGAGGGAAAATACAGCTAATTTAAGATTTTTTTTCCTTAACCTTTACCCTACTTTCTAGATTGTTTTTGCAGTGCATTTCCCTTACAGACAACTTCTGTTATTAAATATTGACCTTAGACCAAGATAAACTCAGTAAAAATAACAACTACGTTCAACTTATGTTTGAGTTTATTGAAGAAAAGAAGTTTTTCAATCAAGCTGTGGGAGTCAGAGTCGTTTTTTTATTAATAAACAAGAACATTTTGCATCTATTCTGGAATTATGTGCTTGATGCTAAGATTCAGTTCTTGTTTGGCTGTGACGTCATCCTGGAAAGAAACATCAGCTGTGCTGCTTCCATC